GGTAGAAGAGTACTTCATAGTGTTTTTTTCTAATCTACTTCACTTTGCTGTCATTAGCATTCTTGTGATAGGAAAAGGAAAGGAGTAGGATGCCAATAAATGTACATAAATCCTCCAACCCCTTTTCCTACTCTTCCCTTTTATAAATGGGGGAGGGACAGTTGAAATAGGGAGGCCCTTTGTCCAAGTTGAAGAGACAGTGGTTACATGGAAAATAGTTTATTTGGGGAAAGAGAAAAATAGGTTTTGAAACTTTCAAAATGGCCATCCTACATTATCTTTTTACTGTTTTCCTTGATGATTCTGATATGCTAGCATTCAGCAATACATACAGATTTCATAATAAGATTTTTAAGAATGGGGTTAATTATCTTGTTAGCTAGAACAGCATATGGTACCAAATAAACATTTAATCTTATTTTTCTTTTTCTTTTTCTTAATAATGTCACTTTTCCATACCTTCTGATTTATGCTTCTATAAAGATGGAGGTTACATTCAGGATTTCCAACACTTTTTGCAAATCCTGAATGTAAACTTTAAAATAATTATGTGTATTCCTTAATTTTAATTAACATAAACAGATCTGTAACTCTGTTTAGGAATTTGGTGATTAGATATTCTCTCTTTCATTTAAGAAAAAAGAAGCTCTTACCTGGTTTTTATTCTTTTTGACCTTTGATTTTATGATATGGAATTTAAGTGATTTCTATTTTCAAATCCTGATCATGGCACTGGCCATGATCAGATAACCAAATTATTGTATAGATAAATTACAACATGAAGGAGAGGTTGTGGATTTTGTTGATAATCTTTCAAGTTACCTGGTTTTGCTTAGTGCATTCAGAGCTAAGTATCTTGGATTACCTTAATAGGTGAAGAATAACTATATGCTCTCCAATCTTTTTAGCTTCCTCATTTGCTTATATTTCTCATCTTCCTTTACTTTTACTTTTTACTTCCTTTAATTGTTACTTTTTATTCCTTATGAAATAAAATCAATCAATATAATACATTCTTATCTATTTGGAAATTATCCCTATTGTGTATTTTTTCTTGGTCAATTTTGGATTGAAAAATTGGATTACTTATTATGTAGAAGGCTTTCCTCATTTGTGGAATGAGATTCAGAGTTTTTCTGTGTTTGCTTGTCAAGACATGATACTCTCTGAGTGAGGACTCTCTCTCTTTTTTTTTGTTTTTTTTTGTTGTTACTGGATCTCCTGAAGTCATTTTCAAAATCAGGAAAAAAGTGAAGTTGGTAGACAATGGATGCTACGGGATTAATATGTATTTTATTTACTGGCTAATTAAGTAGAAAGCAGTAAAGGGAGAAGAAGAAACACTGGAAGCCTTACTAATAAAAAAGTACTCAATAAAATTGCTGTTGAAGATGATAGCCAAAGAGTAATTTGGGGGCACTATATATCTAGGAACTAGAAAAGAGAGTTAGGTTAGTAGGTTGGTGAGAGGAGGAGGAAGAGAGAAAGGGAAGGTGGGAGAGAGAGAAAGTAAGTGCACTGCGGGGGAGAGGGGTCCCTCAGCCTGGCCTGTGCCCTCTTGCAGTCTGTGAGCCCTCGGGAGATAACGACCTGCTGGCTTAGGCCTGCTCCCGGGTGGCAGAGGGCAGGCCTAATCCCTAGGTGCAGCCCCTGGTTGGGCTCAGAGCAGGGCCGATTGGGGAGTTGGGGCGCTGC